TTTACGCCAAATAAACCCCTTTTACTGTATTTTTGTGCAATCATTGAGTTTAACGCCCTAGAGATTCATCGTCTAAAAGTACGTTAAATGAAAAATTCCAAAAAAAATTGATTAGAATCAAATCAAAATTTTTTTTCAGAATCAATATCTGCTATGAGTTTCTCCATTTAAAACAATTCAATTTTGATCGGTTTTATCTTGTCTTTCAGGTACTCCTTTGTATAAATATAAATGCGCCAAAAAAACTACATAATAAATCCTAGAATATTTAATAAAAATATATACAACATATATAGGGTGTTTCTTAATGATATAGTTGGGTTCACGAGGGAAATTATTGGTTAATTTTAAGAAAAAAAAACTTCACAGGAAACTATTTCCTAAACCTATCAACTTGATAACTGAGATACAGAATGGACAAGGTTCCTAGAATCCTTTTGGCGGAAAATTAACTCAAGAGTCGCCTCTAAATCTCATTGAGGAACACCCTTATATCATAATATATTATTAAAAGGTTAATTATACAGTATGTCCCCGGATTGTCTTTACAAGAGGAAAATCTTTTTTATTATTGATATTTTGAGAAAAATGCATTCTTCAAAAAAAATTTTGTTTGTTCTAAAATGGTTAATCCCATTTATACTTTTCCAAATTTCCATACCGTTTTAGAGAAAATTAAAAAAAACCTGAAAATATGGTTGAATTTTTTGAAAGTCCTAAAAATCAAAACGCGTTTCTATGGTTTTCGTTCTTTGTTGTTATTGATAGAATTTTAATTAACGTCATATTTTTTGCGTTTTAAAATGATAAAGAAACACAAAATTTATTTAGTTCAATGCTACGGAAAGGATGATAATGGTTATCGGAAAATGTGATACCTTAACAATAGCAAAACATATGTCATTAATCAAAATTAAAAATACCAATCTATCAAAGAATGAAATCTAAATTATATTACCATAAAAACCCGTTTTCATTTTTAGGGCTTAGAAAAAATCAACGATATTTTCATGTTTATCATTTTCAAACGGGATTAACCATTTTAGAACAAGCTAAAATTTTTATTAAGAATGTATTTTTCTCAAAATATTAATAATAAATATGTTTTTCCTCTTGTAAAGACAATCCGGAGACATACTGTATATTAGTTATATATTATTACCATTACATATTAAAATGTTCCGCGAGGAAAATCCCGAACGTATTCTAAATGATATGATAGTCGGTCGCTTAGGGTTTCCAAACCGGGTGCCCGGTGTATATTTATCCCTGAAATACCGATATTAAATCCCGGGATTCGGAAAATGTCGAAAAATTTTAATGCCTAAAATGATTCGAGTTAGTCTTTCTAATATATTTTATTTATACTAACAGCGCTTTCAGATGGAGCGGAGCGTCCGCGCGTACCGTTCGCGTGTTCCACTAGTTCAAATGAACAATTTTACATGGGTAGCGCGTATGCCTCGTCCGGATGAGATCGTCGATGGCTATCTTATCTTGAAAAAATATCCGTGCGGTACGGTCGCGCTGAGTCCTGAAAGCGCTGTTACAGCGTTTTCAGATAGAGCGGAGCGGCCGCGCGTACCGTCCGCGAGTTCCATTACAGCGCTTTCAGATGGAGCGGAGCGTCCGCGCGGGCCGTGCACCATTTCCATGAATTTAAATGAACATAACATGGGTCGCATATGCTCCGTCCGGATGAGCTATCTTGAAAAAACATCCGCGCGGACGGTCCGCTCCATCTGAAAGCGCTGTAAGCCGGACGTCAATATCTAAGTGTTATATTTCCGTGTTTGCTATATTTTTTTTGCAACAAGAATTTTTTTTTTTACTAACTACATATTATGGAATATTACTTTGTTTATTCTATTTTAATAAAGCTCTTTCCTCATTTTCTTTTTGATATATTATGTAGCTGGATTTTTATTAAATATTTCTTTAGATTAAATTTCTCATTCTGATCCCCGCGATTTCGAGATTACAGGTTCTTATTCCGGGATTTTAAATAATTGGAAACCCTACTTACACTGAGTGAAAGTTTTTTTTATATCGTTAGTTGTATTGGCTAAATATTTGTGAAGAATGGGTTAGAAATACCGTTTGATCGAAAAAGAAACGGCGTCATAGACGCCTGGGGTATGATAATAATTGCTAGTTTCGGCGAGGTCAATCTCTAGACGCCAGTTTCTAAAAATTGACATAAAACTTATCAAAAATTAATACTAATTTTCTAACATCTAAAAAATGATTGAATGTTTCCAGACTCACAAATCTACTTCCAAAAAAGTATTTTTTTCTCGAATTTTAAATTACATTATTAAAAAATAATTTTTACTAATATAAAAATAAATTACAACGTTCTTAAAGTCAATTGGCAGTAAGCGCCATGAAAAAATAGAGAATAGTACGGGCCAAGTAAATGGAGATCTAGGGCTTGACCTCGCTCATAATAATAATTATTGATTGTCATTCCCCAGCCGTCTTTGACACCGTTTTTCTTTTCGATCGTATGGTACGTTACGATTTTTTTCGGTAAATATGTGATAATATAATATAGCTGCTTGAACGAAAATATTGATTCCAAATAGCAATATGCAGCATCCACAAACACTAATTCTGAATCAGCGTAGCTACACGGAAATTACTAAAAATTTTATATTAAAAGGTTAATTGATAATTACTCACATTCGACAATAGTTGTGGAGTCCTTTTCACAGGAAGTTGAAATTTGTATATTTGTGGTATCTATATTACACACTTTTATGATGCAAGGTATTTGTGGTAGCACAAATACACATTCTAAAATTATAATATTTGTGGAACAGGTTTCCACAATTAATAAATGCCAATAACTTTCTTACGGTGGAGTGTATAGACATATAAATTATATTTTTAGGTCGTGGACAGCGAGTTCGTATCATTTCGTACAAAAATAGAGATGCTACCACAAATGTCTTTACTGCACGGTTGTCACAAATATGGTCATACGTGTATAGGTGTGTATTTCTGTGTATTTCTGTGTATTTCTATGGATTTCTTTAGATTTCTTTGGATTTCTGTGGATTTCTGTGGATTTCTTTAGATTTCTTTGGATTTCTGTGTATTTCTGTGGATTTCTTTAGATTTCTTTGAATTTCTGTGTATTTCTATGGATTTCTTTAGATTTCTTTCGATTTCTGTGTATTTCTGTGGATTTCTATGGATTTCTTTAGATTTCTTTGGATTTCTGTGGATTTCCTTGGATTTATTTATCAAAAGTGGATTTCTGGTGTACACATTTTGGTCAGGTGTTTACCCCTCGTGGATCCCCTAACAAAATTGGCAATTCATTTCTTAGAAATTATGGATAGTTCATTTCATTCAGATAATTAAAAAAGTCCAGTCATTTGCCATCCTAGAATTCCTGCGTAAACATTTACCGACCAACGGTCTTGGTGCTAAACTACTTACATCAAGGGTAGATTTGGAGCAGTAGTGCGTATTGTTAAGATTCGCACCTTCATTCGGTGCTGTATGAAAAATGACCCAAACGACATAAACTTTATAATATAATAATAAATAACACAAACAACAGGTAAAACACGAAAACAAGTGAAATCAAGGACGAACTTGAATTAATAACTAAATGACGTTATATGAATAAACCCCTAGTTTTCGACCATACGAAATTCGGCCGTTTTCTGTTAAAAACAATATGGCGGCACAAAATTCCTAGAAATTTTAATAAAATTATTGATTCTCCGACTTTCGGACATTTTAATCTGACATATAATTAACCAAGAAATTCGTAAAAATTATATATATGGATTATAATGTTACATAAACACGTTTAAATAATTAGGACGTCATTTTTTTAAGAAAACGCCCGAAATTCGGATGGATGAAAACTGAACTAAATGTTTTAATATTTTGACGTAACCAATTTACCTTTTTTTGTTTCCTAGCCTATTATTATAATTTTTAGACCATATAATCCTAAGCGGCAGCCTAATATGATTTGTTCTCTTAATATCTTTGATTAGAGAGAAGATAGAAAGTTGCGGTTTGCGCTGATATTTTGGAAATTTTGTGCTCTATTTAACGTGCAAATAGAAATATAGCCTCCTATTTAATTTTTTTACGCAAAAGCGCAATATCTATTATGATGTCAAACAGCGCCCTCTAGCTACCACGAAAAAAGTTTTGGAAACAAAATTTATACTGGAGATCATTAAGGAAGAAAAGCTCTTTTAAACGAGCCCTAGTTTGTTTAAATCGCGTAACCCAAACAAGAGTTATCCTTATTTTAATAAAAGCTTAACCTTCCTTAAAAAGTTTAACCTTCCCCCACCACTTTATTTCATGAGATAGAGCAAAATACTCTATATCAAAAAAATTACAAATTTATCGATGAGTACAATAGTAATATCTAAAATACCTGTTTACCTGCATATTTTTGAGAAAAACCCTGTTTTCTGATTGCCTATTAAAGAAACGCCCCCTAGCGGGCATTTTTCGAACGTGAAAATAATTTCCAGCGATTTCTCTTGGTCGATTTACTTATTAGAATTTTTTTCCCAAAGTTATACGATAAGTAGTTTCTGAGATAAAGCCGGCGTCCATTTTTAGTTGGCCACCCGGTAGCGATTTTACTAAATATATACTATTACAGCACAAGACACGCCCCCAAATACGTCATTGAAAAATATAATCTATCTCAGCACATTCCTCCAAAATCTAAACGTTTGCAGCACAACAATACGTCGTAGGAAAATTTAATTTTATGTTCATTTCACGTGTGTCAGGCTGTGTGGAGATGGTTGTAGGATGCAAAAAATCACATAGATATTAAAGAAAGAAAAAAACTTATGATGGAATTCCGTTATATACTTTATGCACAAAGTGAAGAAGAAGCAGAGGAATTATTTGGTACCTTATGTGAAAAATGCAAATACCCAAATTTTATCAACTATCTTAAAAATTTGTGGGAAAGAAGGAACGAGTGGTGTCATTTTATAGAAAATCATTGTGTACTAAAGGACACAACACAAACAACTTTGTTGAAGCATCTACCAGAGTACTGAAAGATATTATACTGGAAAGATGTAAATCCTTTAATGCTGTGGTATTAGATTTTATAACCAATATTCTGGAATGTTACCATAAAAGACGTCTGATATCATTTGCTAGCAACAGAAAAACGAAAATTAATTTAAACTACTTAAAATTTAAAGATAAAATTAGAAATCTAACAGTTAAGAAAATAGATAATGAAACTTTTTTAGTTTCTTCAGCTGAAGACAAAAATATGCATTATACTGTTCTAACAAATTCCGCCTTATGCAATTGCGCTAGTGGAACAGGAGGGGCCTTTTGCAAACATTTATGTGCTGTAGAAAATTCGTTTAGCATCAATATTTTATCGAGTCCCCAGTTAACGGAAAATGACCGACAAATAATTGTTTATCTAGCCACTGGTAAAAAAAACTGTTCATTTTTTAAAAACATGATCGAAAACGACGATTCGGTTGCATTTGGGGAATGCAATACCACTTTAAACGCAAGTAATCAAACCCAATCGGATTCTATAACTGATGTTGAAAATATTGAAAGTAAACCTTGTAAGTTAATCTAAAAGTTATAATATTGTTACTTGCTTAATACTTTTTGTTTTAGGTAGCGAAGAACATAAAAATGTAGTGGAAAGTCTGAAAAGGGAGTTTAGCCGTATTGCAGATTTAGCAAAACATGAGAGTTGTAATACAGAGTTAATAAAAAAGTTTGTTGGAAGCCTAAGAGCAATTAACACAGGTAGTCAGTTGGATTCATTCCTAGCTAGCAAGCAGTGTATCAAACGAAAAACAAAATTAATAAAAGTCCAGCCTACAGCACGCAGTAGAAGAAAGATACAAAATGCTAAAATGGGGGGACAGAGAATTCAAAGTGGGCGCCCTTCCAGAAAAAGAAAACTCAACCTGTTCCTTAATATCATGTCTAATCTTCCTAATTCCAAAATTCATTAGATGTTGCTGTGTGTTGCTTTGTGCTGTTTTATTTTGCAGATATTAGATATAGCTCCAATTAAAAGAGTATCTATTAAAATTCAATTTATTCCATTTCAACCGATTTGTATGACTCAGCCACGTTGTTGTGCTGCAAACGTTTAGATTTTGGAGGAATGTGCTGAGCTAGATTATATTTTCCAATGACGTATTTGGGCGCGTGTCTTGTGCTGTAATAGTATATATTTAGTAAAATCGCCACCCGGTACAAGTACCTTGTCTGAGCATCTGAGGGTGCGCGGTCGAAAAACGACGCAATATTTTTAGATATTGACCTGCCTACAATAATGACCACGAGCCGCCACTGTTTAATTAAGAAAGTTATGAGATGGCATCTCGAAATTGAAAAATCAGAATAAAAAATCGAAAAGAAAATAAAAAATTTAAAAAGGATTTAGATTGATAACATATATTTTTTACAACTCTGAGCCCGTTCAAAAATGCTCGCCTCCTCCCCTATGACGTCAGAATAATACCCTTACCGGTTGACTTGACGGGGGAAAATCGTTTGGCACAACGGCCGCATTATGTAAATAAGACAGTAACGGCGGGCGGCACCCCCCAACCCCTCTCCCCTAACCCCCTCGCTCGCATCTAGTCTAGTTACTATCTGCAAAACATCGTCGGCGGCGATAATCAGGATATAGGGGGCGGCGGAGCAAATGCGGGCGGCCAGGCCGCCCCGGCTGGCTGGCTGGTTGCACTTAAACGGAAGACGTAGCGTCAAAAACATTCTAATTGAATGTCAATAGGGAAATTAAAACAGAAGGCGGAAAAACGACGGGGCGTATGGTGGAACGATAAGGGAGGATAAAAAGGATGTAAAAAAGTTGCGGAACAAGGAGAAGACGTGTTTTGGTATAAAGACATTAAGGACATTTCTCCAAAAAAATCCTTTATGAGTATTTCGCCAATGCACTGCAAGAAAAATTGTGTTCTCGAATAGTTGAATTTAAATATTTTAAATAGTTTTTTTCTTTATTCTTTGTATTTTTTTGCTTCCGACGACGGAAAGAGATAAAATTTCCGAAACGTAAAGCATTTTTTTCTTTGTTAGACAAATTTGTATAACTGTAAACATAACTTCTGACAAGCAGTGTCCGTTTAGGTTTAACGTAGAAGTGTTTACAAAAAATAGCTATTTTATTTTGTAGATTTTCTTGCAGTGCAGTGGCGAAATACCCATAAAGAATTTTTTTGGAGAGATGAATCCGCCACATAGGAATAGACATTTTTTATTAAGGACATTGTCAAAACTAGGGTTTTAGTTTTAGTTTGCATTGTATTGTTAATAAGATATGTTACAAAGTTTACCCATTTAAATTCGTTGCTTTCACTTTAATATTTAAATAAACACACATATACAAATGCATACATTCAAGATGGCTCCGCGTTCCGAAAAAGCTCTCCAAACCTTTTACAAAATATGTGTTTAATTGTAGTTTCAATCTGTTTAGGTCAGTGAATTTACCATAAAATTTCGGTTCCAAAAATACCTTAATACCATAGAGTATACTGAGTGGTTTTTGAATTATGACCACGTCAGGAACCTTCGTTTGAGAACTTCTAATCGAGACGATCGACTTATTGTAGGTTTATCGCTAAGAAACCACCGCGCCGTTTGCCAGCTCTTCAATTTTATAATGAATTGCACCTAAGGAATGTACATATTACCTAACAGACTATAAGAAGACGACTAAATGAAACAAATCTTATGTCAAAAAGACCAGCTTCGGGACCAGAACTTACTAGATCTGTTGACTAGGACCAAAAGCAAAGGCATGGTCTTAATGTAAAAATTACGAAAAAATGGTAGTTTCTTCTTCACAAGAGAACATCTCCAACAAAAATAAAGCTAATTGAGATGAACCAAAAAACAAACTATCGAGAAAGGATGTATCTAGATGATAAAATCATATTTTTTTCTGTTTTAACATATTCCACAGGGGTGTTTCAAATTTTCACCAAAATATCAACATTTTGTTTTTCCTCGTATAATTAATAGATGGGGAATTTCATTTTTAATTTAGAAAGAGATACTAAAAAGTCAAATAATTAGGCTATATACTGCTTAGAAAGTCATCAAAATCGGCAAACTAGAACAAAATATATTAAATTTTAAAATATATAAAAGTTTAACGGTGTCCATTTTTCGTGCCTGGTTAATGTATTTCAAAAACTATACATTTTAGTCATATACTTTTCTAATGAAACTCGCCTTTATTTTTTTTTACTAGAATCTGAAAATTAATTAATATATAGGGTGTTTCATTACAAAAAGCACAACTTTGATGTGTAACTTTATTTGGGGACACGCTGTAGAACTCTATATAATTTTAGTAAATACTTTAAATTGACTTACATAAGCTCACAAAATTTAACTTCAATACAAACTTTTGTTCTCCTTGCAAAAACCGCATCGTATATGACGCGCCACCCTGTATAATTCAATTTCAATCAAAATTTCAATGATTAGAATATAAGTAGAATATGTATAGCTTATGCATTAGATTCATTTATTTCAGTAAATTTACTTAGAAAAATAAATTAAAAAAATCAAAGAATTAAGAAGGAAATAACTAAGAATTTACTAAAATTACTAATATAAAAAAATAAAAGTAACGAAAAAAAATGGGTAAACATTTTAGTATTTTATCTATAAAACAACTACAGAAGGTTTTACATTAATACATTCACAGTAATTGAATTCCGAGGTAAAAGTCTCTGGTGTTTTAGATAATTGTTGTGATTTAGATAATATTAGATTATTAGTTCCATTCAATATAAATACAGCAGTACTTAACCCTTTATAGGTTGGTGGTCGCTAAATCAACCACTTTTATTTAACCAGCTAATCAGTCGCGTCGAAGTGTATTATTATCACTCGGTTTTTTTTTGCTATGCTTATTTCTATGCGCGCCTTGCCCATTTAATCAACCATCATATCTATACTTTTTGCTAATGGGCTCTTTCACTATATTTTGGAATTAGCATAATTGAATAAAGCAATTAATTCTAGAATTTTCTGCTACCTCACTTTCGAAAAATTTGAAGTCGTTCTTAAGAAAATAAATAAAAACAAAAAAGCCCAGAATAAAAATCCGCACTTTATTTTTAATACGTTTTTAATACGGCATGTTGAAAAGCGGCAACACGGCCGGGCCACCATGCTGACCCACCACCACCTCCACACAAGGCTATTTAACCTTTTCCAATATGGCGGAGATAGAAGTGCTTTATTTGGCGCGTATTTTAAAACCTGTTTTATTTCCAAATAGACATTTTTCACACAAATGTCGGGTTAGATTACGTAATATTTCAGTAATTTTTTAATATACAGGGAGTCTAAAGCTCTCCACATAAGTATGGAATTTTTTGTATTATTACTTTTATGAAAACATCAGTTAGTTACTTTTTATAAAAAGGTCTGTTTTCTCAGAAAATAGGTAGGTAGTGTACTACTGTGTAAATATTCAAACTTGAGGTAGCATATATAGGATGTTCAAAATCGTCGGAAAAAGAAATAACCAGAAATATATGACAGAAAATAGCAATATAAACTAAATATTCCATTGCCAACACTTACCTACCATAGTTTAGAATTTACTGCAGGTTTGATAAATATATATTATTATGGACAGTATAGGAAGTTACTTGTCTTAGTAAAAACCTTGGTAAATGCTCTTGGAATTATAAACTACACTGGCTTGGGTAAAAAAATATGGAATATTTTTCTTATTATGGACAGTATAGGAAGTTACTTGTCTTAGTAAAAACCTTGGTAAATGCTCTTGGAATTATAAACTACACTGGCTTGGGTAAAAAAATATGGAATATTTTCCCTATGTTTAGCAGCATTACACAAATGGGAATAAATTTAAACTATAATAGGTGAGGATAACTAAAACATATAATATATGTTTCAAGATTTTATATAGAAAAAAAAAACTAAATACCTTTTTATAACGTCGTTCCTTTTTTTTTGCATAGTTCTTCAATAAAATATTAGATATTCTGAACAAGATGGATTTAATAATAAATTCTGACGTATGTGAGGGGCAATTGTGACTTTAAAAAAGACTTACATCCAGGCAGGCCATTTATATTTTCAAATGTGAATGTTGTCAATATCTTTCTGTGATCTTTTTGATGTAAAAAACTTGATTATTCTTCCAATATTTTACTTATAGTGAGGTAAGTGTAAGCAGTAACCATCCTCACAAAGGTACATCCTCACTAGGGTAACAGAGGCTTTGGCCTTTGGCCTTTTTGAGGCATATTTATTGCACTTCTTTACCTTAAAATAATTAATAAAATAGGAGTACGACAAGCACAAAAGTTTGAAGTTCCTTATGTGAAATGTCGGGTTTGGATTTTTATTACACTGTTATTTTATCACAATTTTCTGATCACACCATTCTGAACACTAAGAACTAAACAAACGTGTTGCAGAAGCACAACAAACTAGAGATAATTAATTATTTCTGATATGCAATCGGAACGAGAAACCACTACCGGCTTTTCAGGTTAAGGGTAAACAATTTAATAATGCGCTGCCTTCGCCGCCATATTTGCCTTGCCTATATCATATTGATTGGCCTTGAGTTGAGGTGGTGCTGGTCAAATCAAATCGCAATGTTGCCAGTTGTTGGCTGGCACACGAGCACGGTTCTGCAATATGATTGGGCGTATTTTTCATACGTCATCAATTGGCGCTTTAAAATTATTTCAAATTAAAGCAATTTTAAGGACCTATAAAAAATTATTCTATGTCATGGAACTATTTTTTTTTTTGGATAAATATACTGAAAATAGTCTTCTATTTCAGATTTTGTCCTTGAATTGGGTATTTTATTTTTTGTGAAAGAGCCCATTGGCGCGAAAAGTTAACGTTAGCGGTTGAATATTCGACCAGTAAGAATCGGTGACACTGAGTCCGCCTGTGTATCATATAGATAATA